CGCTCACTAATGCTACGTGAGCCTCTCCGTGTTCGTCCTCGATCCTCCAGTAAGCGACCGTGGCGTAGGCGCTCTCGCTGGCGTCGCAGAACACGTGTAGCTCCCGTCGTCGACATTTCGTTGCCGTTGTATAGCAGCGTGTGATTGCTATCTCTCCCATGCGATGTAAGCCCCGTAGCCATGTGTGGAATTTATCGGCGTCTTCTTGTGGTAGCGGCTCATCCCACCCAATTTTCCTTCGCCATAGATCTTGGAGGAATATTTTCGCGGCGATTGTATATGGGCTCACTAGTCCGAGTGGATCGTACACGGACATGACAGCCGACAGAGCCTCTCTTTTCGTCGGCGATCTTCTTTCTTCCTTCACCTCCACGGGTACCCGTGCCATGGTGGTGTTAAATGTCAAGTTGTCTTCGGCGGCGTTCCATAGGAGTCCCAGTGTCTTCTCGAAGTGATTGACGTTCGCGCCGAGTCGGGTCGGTGACTGGGCGTGTAGTTCGGTGGGTATGGTTGCTAAGACGGCTGCGCTGTTTGAGTTCCAACTTCGCAGCACGAATCCCGCTTGCCGATGGACGTGCGCCACGCTGTTTACAATTCTGGTGGCCTCTTCTTCGGTGTCGTAGCTGTCCACGTAATCGTCCATGTAGTGACTACGTGTTATTGGTTGTAGTGCTTCCGGATGCGAGTCGGCGTAGGCTTCGGCGTTAGCGTTTCTTACGCTATGTGCGATGAAAGGCGAGCTTGCCGCGCCGAAAATCAATGACGTCATCTTGTATTTCTGGGGCGGTTTTGTTCGTTCCGTTCCTCGCCACAGAAACATTTGAGCGGGCTGATCCTCTTTTCTGATTTTAATCTGCAAGAACATCTCTTGAATGTCGGCGGTTACGGCGATCGGTTTTTCTCGGAATCGGAAGAGTATTCCTTGCAGCGACGTTAATAGGTCTGGACCCTCTAGTAGTTCTTGATTAAGGCTGGCATCGTTCGTAACGGCGGCTGCGTCGAAGACGAGGCGTAGCTTGCCAGGCTTGTTGGGATTCTTCACCGCAAAATGCGGTAGGTACCAGCTCTTCGGGCTCGCTTGTTCGGTGCCGTCGCATTGCTCCGCGTATCCTTTTTCGAAGAGGTTTTCGACTTGCGCTCTGTAAGCCGCGGCGAAGGACGGGTCGCGATCCATTTTTCTCTCTATGCCTTTCAGTCGTTTCAGAGCGTTGTCATAGCTGGGCGGCATCGTCACGTCGTCCGTACGCCATGGTAACCCCACCTCGTATCTTTTATTCGTGCGGCGCATTGTCTTCGTTACTATAGCCGCGGCGCGTTCGTCGTCGGGCTTTGTTCGATTTTTCGTCGATACTCCAAGCGCGTCGATGTCATAGTGACTTCTTATAATTTCGTCGAGGCGTTCTTCGTCGACGTCGTTAGTGCACGGGCGAAGCGGCGCATCTTCTGTGATTCTCAGATGTGACACTATCTTGTGATTTTCCTTGGTCGTGGCTCGAGGCAGGTTTCCCAGTATCACCCAACCTAGGCTTGTTCTTGACGCGACGGGCTGCGATCTTCGTCCGGCGCGTAGCTCCCGGGAAATCACGAGGTGCCAGTGGTCCGCGCCGATGAGGATTCGTGGTCGTGCTCGATCGTAGCACACCTCTTCGGCGCTCAGCTTACGTAGATGCGGGTGCTTCAGGACGGCCTCTGGAATCGATTGTCCTCTTATACCGATTCGGTCGATCGTTCTGGCTTCTAAGTCGAAGAAGTTCGTGTTAGTGCCCCGTATTTGAAGTTTCACTCGTTTGCTTTCTTCATCCCTTATGACGTTCTGTATGCTGTGCAGGTGGATGGTCTGCGTGGGGCCGTCGGCGCGAAGTTCCTCCGCTAATCTTCTGTCTATTAGCGAAACCGTCGAGCCTTCGTCCAGTAACGCGTAGGTTCGTACTTCGCCGGCCGGTCCCTTGATGACGACCGGGCACACCTTCAGTAGGACTTCTTTCTTTTTCTCGGAGCCGACTGTGGTGGCAACGGTCTCGACGTCAGTCTTCTTTTCGTGACACTCCTCGGTGGTGTCGGCGGACGTCGATGCGGGTGCAGGTGCGGCCTCCGCGTGCAGCAGTCTATGATGGGGTCGGCGACACTCGTTCTGGCCGCACAGCTTTGCTCTGCACGATGTTCGTCGGTGGCGCGCGGCTATGCACTTGAAGCATATTTTCTCCTTTTTGACAAGCGCCCATCGGTCGTCCGTGTTCATCTTGATGAACTGCGGGCACTTGGGTAGCTCATGATCGCCCCGGCAACAGCAGCAGTAGCGACGCTCGGTTGCTTGTGTGATGTTGTGCGTTGCCGCTCGTCGCGTTGCTCCCGTGTTGAAAGGTTTCTTATCTTCTTTTTTCGTAATCGTGCTGGGCGTTGACATGTGTGCATGTCGGAATGCTCTATTTGCTTCGCGCGTGAGAAACTTCGATAACGTTACGATCTCTGGTTCTTGATCCGATCCGTGGTCCTCTGCGTAGTCCCACCATTTTGAAGTGACGCATGGGTTGAGCTTCGCTACTATTTCTTGCACCAGCATTGGGTTTGAGAGGTATCCTTTCTTGTCAATTTGCTTCATAACGCAGACGATGTTTTGAACTTTAACCGCTAACGCGTTCCATTCGGCGGCGGTGGTTCCGAGCTTCGGTAATCTTCTTATCTGCTCGAGCACGTGGCAGATGATGCTTTCTGGTCGTCCATAACACTGCTCTAAAACTTGTACGATCTCAGCCGGGTCCGTAGTGGTTGCTAGCAGCGCCGATACTGTTTCTCTAGCTTCCCCTCTCAGGCAGTTTCGAAGTCGCGCCAGGTTTTCCATCGGCGTGAACTTGTACAGCTGCGTGGATTCGTTCAAAGCGGCCTTGAACGGTAGCCACTCCATCGGTGATCCGCTGAATAGGGGTAGTTCGGTTGCTTGTCTCGGCGGCGATCTGACGTGCATCATTTTCTCTAGCACGTCTGCCAGCTTTTCCATGCCCCGTTGCTGTCTTGACGGCGATCGTCGTCGTTGTGGCTGTGGTTCTGCAGCGTGCGCTTCGGGCTCCCCCCCTGCATTGATGTAGGGAGCGCGTTGTGACACGCGGTGTGGCGTTGTTCTCGTTGCTTCTCGTTCCAGTTGTGGCGCTGAATCTTGCTCCGTGTGTTGCGCGATGGAAGAGCTTTGGTTAAGCCATGTGTCGATGCGTTCCTCGACGTTCGTATCGTCGGCGATACTCTCGTTGTCCGACTCTTGTATAACCGCTTTTTCCCATGCCAGCTTCTTCTTCATAAGTTCCGTCTCCATACGGATCTTCATTTCCGACAGCCGTTTTTCGGCTTCGTATTCGGCTTTCAAAATTCGTGCCGCAGCGCTAGCCGAAGATCGAACCGATGCCGGACGCGTAGGAGTACGCTGCTTCTCTGTGATTGGTGCCGTGGCCCCTTGTTCAAAGTCCTTTTCTTCCCTGGTTCCGACGGTAATAGGACCCCTCTCGCGTTCAGCGGTCGTTGTTCCATCGACCACAGAGGGTGAAGCGGGTGGTAGCTCATATAATCCACGGCGTGCTTGCTCCAGTAACGCGTCGGTGGCGCGGTCGTCCTTAGTGGTGCTTCTTGTTCGCGGCATCTTGCTGTATCTTGAGACGTAGCTCTGTCCCGACGTACTCTGTACCTGACGTACTCTGTACCTGACGTGCTCTGTACCTGACGTGCTCTGTACCTGACGTGCTCTGTACCCGACGTACTCTGTACCTGACGTACTCTGTACCGACGTACTCTGTACCGACGTACTCTGTACCGACGTACTCTCTACCTGACGTACTCTCTACCTGACGTACTCTGTACCGACGTACAGTGCTTCGACGCTCGTAGAACACGCTTTCTTCTTTCCGGCTTCGGACGAGCAAACTGTAGCTCGGCGATCTTCCTATCCGGCTTCTGAAGAATCAGCGAACTCCTTATCCGGCTCTTGAAGGACCAGCGAAAACTGTTGGGGATGGAAACAACAGTTTGGAGATTTGAAGGCGTTTATTCTTTCTTCTTATTTGCAGTACAAAGTACGAAAACGTTCGTAGGCATGCTTTCATACAAATCGGGTTTACTTAAGTGGGATTTGTTCGTTCGCACTTAGCTACTATCCTAACGCGTTAATTGACCTAATAGATTCATGTTATGTCGGTGCCCCTTCCACTATGCGGCGGGGAGGTCGCGGGGGGGTGCTCCCGTCGCTGCTGCCCGTGGTGTGCCCCCTCCACTCGTTGCGGGGGTGAGGTTGCGGGGAAGGGTCTTCATGTCCGCCGTCCGTAACACTAACTACTATCTAGTTACTGAGCGGTAATGCTCTAGGGTTTACCATTAACAATTTTTTTATTTTATTTATTAACACATTTATTTTTACCAAAGCACCAAGTTATCAATCATAACAATTTAATGTTAGTGAAAATAAGTGTTACAAAAGTTTTGATGTTTGCAGTATTGAAATTGAAAACGTCTTTCGCCTCGTGTCTTAATTCGTCTCTTCATTATAAGGACATTACCGAATGTTTGGCATTTATGCCGTGTTGTTTCTAATATCTAGTTCTGAGAACATTCTCTGAGAATTAACTATTATCAGTACAGCATTGTTAAAATATAATAACAAATCTATATAATTAAAACTTAAAATTCATTTATTCTGTATAAATAGATACATATTTTAGTACATATTTTATTACCGACTGTGCTCTTTCTTATTTTATTTCATCAACTCTATATAAAAGCTATAATATATATAAAGCTAATATTAACCCGTAATCCTACAACACTAAAAATGGCATATCAAAATATCATTACAGATATTTTTACAGCTAATAGAACTCAGCTCTGGAATATGATAAGCATAAAATATTGCACTATTTTTGTTTGACTTCATTATTCGCTGCTTTCCAACTTCGTAATTTGTTGAATTAATATTGAGATACAACATTCTGACATTCACGATTCAGAGTTTTGATGGCGAAGTATCATTGTGGATTGTGTTGGAAATACTTAGTTTTCGCAATATCATGAAGAACTTTGCTCATACTATCACTGGTTTCTTTAACTAAAAAGTTAAAGTGGCTGTCAGGTTTAGAAAGTACAACATAAGGCCAATCGAACTCCACAGCCTCTCCCTTGTTCATCACCAGTACACGATCAGAGTCCATGATGGTGATGAGACGGTGAGCAATGGTGATCACCGTGCATGTAGCAAACTCTCGGCGGATGGTTTTTTGTATGAGGGCATCAGTTCTGTGAAAAACATAACGTGAGTAAGAACGGTGACCATTTGATGCAAATTCGATAAAATGAAAATGTGAGCGCGAAGCTTGATTTCATTATATTTCTGTCATTGAAATTCTTGTTTTAATTTACTATTTATAAAACAGCTCAATTAATTCATTTATGTAATGAATTTTATACTCGTAATAAGATTTGCCATAATTACGTTGACATAATGGTCCTTTAGGTTATACTATTTGCTTAATTTTCATTCCCATAATGCTACAAGATGTGCAATACACGATCAATCGGTTAGGTTAGGTTATGACAAAGCAAAAAACGAGCAAAGCGAGCGTACGATGCTAGCGGTCTTTATTAAAGTGTAACTTCAGGTCTTACGTAATTATTATTATATTTAGGAAAATTGTGCTTAAAAAATATGAGTGACTATATTATATTAACCAAAAAATCAGGATATTATTGTCTTAATATTTTAAACAAGTAGATACAATCATAACGATAAAATAAGACTTATAAAAACACGCAAATTTATAATTCTTGCCATTGGGTAGGTGATATTAGTTATGCATGTCACACGTATTGGAAGTGTCGTGTACCAATTTTTTCCTAGGTTTTATTTTCGCTTGTCGTTTAGGTCCGTTAATTTTTATCGGCCCACCGCACCGCCGCGCTGGCGAGTTGGGACACGTCGAATGTCACCGCAGATTAAGCCGCATCGATATCCCCGCTCATAATCGTGATCGATATATAAAAAAGTGTCATGTAAATTTATCTTAAAGCCAGATATGAAAAATATTTATAAAATACACCGGCTTAAGTTTTATTCAAAATCCTGTTTCAGACACCAGAGTGGTAGACAGTATTACATATATGTATTTCTCAGAGCCCCAGTTAAGTAGTTTAAGCTCCATGTATTGTGGCAATCTGAAATAACGACGGTACCACAATACCCAGACCCGAGATAATAAAGAAAAGTTAATTTCCTACATGTTCCGTATGTTCCGATATACACTGCGAGCACTGCGCAGTGGTCTTACTGCTGAAAAATCCGTTCCGTTATGGACTGCCAGTACACTGCTACAGTACCCTAGTGAAATTTATGATGTCATAAATTGCCGCCATATTTGTACTGTGAGCACTGGAGATTTCGAGGTAAGGTGCTCGCAGTGCTTTTGATCACGTGATCAGTCGAAACAGAATCAGAAAATGATAAGTTTCTAATAAACAAAAAAAATATACTTACGTTTATTTATAAGATGGATTTAATTGATAAATATTTTTTTATACAATTTTCTTTTGAAAAGAGGGAATCTTTATATTTATATTCACCTTGCATTAACAAAATTGAAAATGGCGCCAAAAAATAGGATTAACAGTATACTGGACTGCGTTCCATTTTAAAAAGTCACCAGTATAACTAGCTATAAAGGAACGGGCTTCCAGTATACTAAATTGACGTCATACTGTTCAGTGGTCGCAGTGTATATCGGAACATACCCTGAGTCGACCGCGAAAAAAATATGGTGCCTACGTCAGATTTGGTGACTCTTTTAATATAATTATCTGAAGACTTTTATGTGTTACACTATAAATTAACATTAAACATAGAATCTGTTTGTTCATAAATATTTATGATCTATTTTCGCAGTATGGTTACACCCAAATTGGTTACACTAATAATTAGTAGGATATACTCACTGTGGGTCCACATTTGCAGTAGCTTCGTCCATAATTAAAATTTTATTAGATCGTAGAACAGCCCTGGCTAGACATAACAGTTGCCTCTGCCCCATGGAGAAGTTGCTACCTCCTTCCGTAACCTTATAGTCTAGTGCCGGAATTGCCTCCTTAAGTTCGACCTTTGGTGATATAAGGGGTTTTATTAGAACTTTATAATTCAATAACTACTATCGACCAGCTCCCTTACTCTCGGACGCAATCGCGACTGATCGATATTGTAATTGTGCCACACACTAGCGCCAAAGTATACTAGTGGACCAATCAAGAGTGCGGAGCAGCACAATTGCATGTCGATCGGTCGAGATTGCGTTCGAGAGTAAGCTGAATCAAAATTTTGCTTGATTTTGCTCTGAGGTTTCTAGATTAAATTTTTTTTTGTAACAATCCAAAAGGAATATTAGCTAATTTTTGTTTGTTCGTCCGTCAGGTAGATTATTGAAAAATATTAAAAACGTATTTATTTATTTTTTGCGTAATCAATAAACGGCAATACATTGAGTTAAAATGTCACGTGACATCACGCTTTTGTATATTTTCTACTAAACTGTGACGTAGCAAACCCCACTTAATTTATTGCCTATTATCTAAGCCATTTCTTGTCTTAATTGTAACAAAAATAATACGTTCCTAATATTTTTCTTTTATCTGGCTGACGGATTAAATAGTTTTTTTGTAGGTAGTTTTAACTAGGTACTTTTAACATCTAAGTTTTACTTTTAGATACTGATATGTAATCAAAATTACATTTTTTACACTACAAATGTTAATGATTGCTTAAATAATACAGGTAAATACTAATACTACATAAAAACCCAATGATATTAGGAGATAATCTTTGAGAAGTTAGTTTCAAGGTACCTATTTCAAAATACATTTCTACACAAGCGTACTAATAAGAGCATTCAAAGTTTGTATAGAACAAATCATTAGTTTCCTGACATGCTTCTATAGAGGATATCTGATTTCTAACAAGATTCCGTATTTCGAATGTCTTATAAAAGGTACCTATATTTAAATTTAAATTACAGAACTCAATGTAGATTGGTTTCTATAACTTAATAATGTAATGCCATGCTTGTACCTGTTCAAGTGCCCGCCACAGGTCATCGTCACTGTATTTGTTAAAAGGATCCAGATTGTATCGAACTGTCGCCGAGAACAATACAGGCTCCTGCGGTATTATAGATATTTTGGACCGCAATACCTGGAGAAATTATAATTTTAAGTACGAAAATAAATTAGCTGTAATACAAGACAAATTACTGTTCCTATCTGTCTTTGAGCCCTCTAATGAGATAGATTTTTGAGATAGAGGATGGTCAATTATGCATAAAAACTATTTGAATTAAATAATTGGAAACCATTCAGCTACTGTAAAAGTGTTACAAATAGCACTCGGCTACAAATTGATTTATAAATTTTGCCAATAAAACCAAAGAAAATCGAAAAGATATTGAATTATAGGGGTAACTTTGTAATTTTTTTATCGAGTAAATTTTTTATAATTACTCTTTTATAAAATAAAAAAAAACTGTATGCACTACTCTCTTCATTTTCGTGTTGCTGTAGCCAATTGTCGCCTCAAAATATTTTATTGTTATTATAGTGAGTTTTATATCACCTATGTATAATACTAGTCAATATATAAATGCATTAATCATTGTTCTTAATAACATGATACTTGAAACAACAAAAATGAGTATGTGTTAAGTAATTATTGATAAAAGGTAACAAATAAATTTGATATACCGATTTAGCGATGCCATATGTATCGATTCCATCTATTTTGATAGCGCCCTCGATATTCGTTAATCTAAATAGAGCAGATATTAATGATGATTTTCCAGCTCCTGTTCTTCCTACCACACCGACCTGTAAAAATAGGCATGTTTTAGTGCTTGAGATGAAACAAAAATATTTATTTTGCTGTTTTTCCGTGACATCGCCCGTGTAAATTATATCCTACTAGCTTTCCTCCAGCGGCTTCGCCCCCGTGGTCCTGTATTATCATAAAAACCTTCTTTAAATCACCCTATCTATTAATAAAACCACATCAAAATCCGTTACGTACTTTTAAAGATCTAACTAATCATACATAAGGACAGACGGACAGAAAATGACTTTGTTTAATACTATGTATGTGTTGATTTTACCCGCATATACGTATCTTGAAAGGTGAAATTTTATTAAAGTCGATCCAATAGTTTCGGAGCAAATGCTATGGAAACAAAGAATTAAATCTTTCCTATTTAATAATTTTGTAAGGATTTCATAAGAAAGTATGTCACGACTGACTAACCTTCCATCCGCTGCGAATTTCGATATTCAAATTTTTTAATACATAAGGATCCTCTGGCCCATACTTCATATAGACCTTTTCAAAAGTGATATGTCCAGTAGCTGGCCAAGTGGGCGGTGGCTTTGTAGCTGAAACATAAAAGACACTCCCGGTTTCTGAATTGAGAATTCAAAGTAAAGAACGTCTGAAACTGTACTTAAACATCACTTAAAGAGGCTTTTGTTTCTGATTTTAGTTTTTTATGATTTTATTACATTAAAACTTGTGACACGTAAAAAATCTTAACTTATTAAGAATGATCAATTGAGATTTTGCATTTTTTCAATTCAAAAATCGGTTGTCACATAAATTTTATCTTTTGAGATAAAATACGGTAGTTTTATATTTCAACGATATGAAATTGAGAGGTACTTGTGCTGCGTTGCCAATATGTTTGCTATGCTTTATATCGATGAAATTGTATTTAAAATAATTTCAATTGACAAAAAAAAATCAAATGTAGATACTATGGGGCTAGAGCCGGCGGACTCCTTGCCAGATGCCGGGTCCCTCCCTCCTTACCCCGGAAGGTACTCGTAGCGGTACCGGGAAGGTAGGCCAGACTCGCTTAAGCCTATCCTTTTCAGGACGGATGCGGGTTTAAGGCTTAAGGTTGCATGTCCCCTGCGTTATAATAGGTACTGTAGATAACACTCACGCCCTTCATCTATGTATTGTTCCTTCGGTAGCTTGGCATACTCGAGTGTCCTCTCAACGGAGGTCATTTGCGCGAGAAAATCAGCTGTGAATCGTGCTGCCATCTGCAGTAACATTGTGAGGACCATCGACTGACTGACCGCCAACCCAGCGCTGCCCACTGCAATCGTGCCACCTGCGAAATTTAGGTAAAGAACTTATTTTTGTTACTAAAAGATTCATATTTTGCTTTTATGTATATTTTAAAGAAACCTTAATAAAGTTACTCACCAAAATCGAGTAATATGAACGTAGCCATAATTAAACCGAGATACACTAAACAGAGCACATCTAAATATAATCCGAATGCTGAAGATCCACCGAGAAATGTGTAAAAAGCGCTCGAATGTAAATTCTGAAAAGTATTAAGTATTCTTAGAAAAATATAAAACATGTTATAGATAGCAAAGGATAACAAATAAGATTAATAACTAACTACTTGTAGTAGGGGAGCCCAAGTGGAGATTTCGTGACTTACTAAAGCGCGGCAGATTAATATACAGGGGGATACCTCGTACGTACCGTGTTAAGTACTCCCACCAAATGAGCTTTATATAGGTCGCACGTCTAGAATAAAGGATCAGATTAGTATAAAAAAATTGATAATCTGATATTCTCCCTTTAATTTAATACTCATAAAGTAATATTTGAAATAAATATAAAATGTATCATTAAGTATAATGGTGTCAAACAACCATCTTATTTGTTTTTTTTTTAAAGTCACCTATCTAAGAACAGTTAGGCTGCTAAGACGAATCTTACGATAATTCAATTATGTAAATTCGTTTAGCGGTTTTGAAGATATGAGGTATTAAAGAATATTACTTAAATACAAAATACGCGCGAAAAACAGTCAGAAAACAGTCTTTACAGTCGGGTAAAATACATACATCATCGTCAGCGTCACATCCAAATATTCAGATAATTAAAAGAACTGTTATAAGTTTAAAAATAAAAATAAATCTGATACGATCGACAAATTTTTTAAACAATAAGACTATTATTTTTCTTTTTATCATCTACTAACTATCCACCACCGGCTTCGCCCGCGTGGTCTTGTATTATACATAAAAACCTTCCTTTTGAATCACCCTATGAAAAAAAACCGCATCAAAATCTGTTGCGTAGTTTCAAAGATTTAAGCATACATAGGGATATAGGAACAGAGAAAGCGATTTCTTTAATACTATATAGTGAAGCTTCACAACCCAATGGAAGTAAATCCCGATTTAGCATCGTGGGCTCCCCTACTATTGATAAAATACTAATGGCGTATTTACAGTGGTCGATGTTATTAGTACGCATAGGGAGAGCGAATCTTATTGGTTAATAAAACAATGACGATCGACCAATATAAATATACCATAATAAAACTTGATAAAATAATAATAACTAATATCATTGTACCTGGGCTTGATCAAATTGTTTTTGTAGTCTATGTTCTGAATTCGAACTCCTTATTGTTGACAACCCTGATATTGTTGAGTTGATCATGCCAAACACAGGACTCTTAGCTGTTGATGGAAAATTATATCATAAGGCTGGTTTACATTTAATTAAGTAGACAAGTAGTTATTTTGAATTATGCATTAAAATTAATATTAAAAATCATATTTCAAAGTAAAAGTTATAAAAAAAATAATTTTGCTTGATTATTTAGATTTAGTAAAATCTAAGGACTTTGATCCTTTTCTGAAGAAGGTCTGAGCTTCTGCAGTGGGGACGTCAAAGGGCTGATGATAATAATGAGGACTTTGATGGCGCAGTGGTTAGAGCATTCAGTCTGTGATGTGGAAGATGTGGAAGTTAGGCAACTTTTGCAAAGGCCGGTCATAGGATGAACGAGAAAAAGTGTATTATCTCTAGCTCTTACGTGTTTCAGGAAGCACGTTAAGCCGTTGATTGATTCCGGCTACGTCTACATTCTGCAATCGTTAACACACATCAATCCGCACTAAGACCGTTTGATGAGCATGGACCATTCTCCCTATAAGATTCATTTCGATTCTACCCAAGGAGAAAACTTGTGCCCCAGCACATGAATAGGTTGATGATGATGATGAAACCAATCCCGTTCAACTTACTGGTGCCCTCCAAACGCTTAACTGCCTGTGCAGCTTGTAGATACCATCTGAGTAGAAAAACAAATAACACGACCAAAAAAGTCGTTGGTATTAGAGTCCAGGGTAAAGAAATGGCGTTTAGCACCAACACGCTAGTCATAGCAAGGTACATTTGTAAAGTCTCCAGCAAACTCCTTGGAAGAAGCTCATCAACTGCACCGAGATCTTTTGAAAACCTATTCAAAGCCCGACCTGTTTGGACAAAAAAGTATAAATATTGTATAATCAGTATGAACCATTACAATTAAAAAATAAATTCCCATCCACATTACATATCACCTGTTGTGTTAATGGTTTACCTGAAGGACTGGTATCGAAGAATCTTTTAACAGCCTGGATGAGATTATTAAATATCTTATCGTGGATATTTTGCGAGGCACGCATTGTCGTAAACACAAAAGTAAGAATTCGCAGTTGTGAAAATACAATGATGCCCAGGATCACACCACCATGGATCCATAGATATTGCCCTGTTGTCAATGAGCCCAAACTTGTGCTGAGAGAAGGATCTAGAATTTATCAATTAATAATTTTATGTCACTATTAAAGCTTAAACATGTAGATCAATTAAATTCAGAAATATTAAATTAATTATTTTTATTTTGTGTTTATAAAATATTGTAAATCAATAACTTACCAGGAGTTTGATTTTCGGGCAGCGTTTGAACATAAGCATCTACAGCGTTAGTCCTACGAATACAAATAGAAATTGTATGATCAAAATCAACACTAATCTTCTATACAAAAGCATTAAAAATTCAGTAAAATTAATATTATACGTTCCAGTGGTTCCAATTAACGCGACATCTGAAACCCATATTATGTATCTCCGAAAAAGAAATCGCGCATATTTCCAAAATACTCATATGACTCCAAAGAAACGCATTTTTCGATAATGTATGATGCTAAGGAGGTAGGACTTGACACTGCCCCTGATGCACAGATAATCATCAAAGATATGATTTTAACAAAAGTACATTTTCCGAATTTTATACAATAATAAATCAACAAATAAAATAGGCCTCTATATGTCCTGTTAATTCGTACGAGTTTCATAGAACTATTACTAGATCTTACAAAGCACTGAGCCAGTAGTCGACGAAGGTGGCCGCTGCTTGTGTCATAAGAAGTGTAAGTACTGCCAGGAACAGTAAAGGGTACGATTTAACCAACTTCAGATACTGCGCCACCACCGTCCACTTAAGGTTACCCTTTGCTCTCTCTTCGGCTTCTAATACCTGTTCCTTTTGATCTTCTGGATTCTCTTCACTTTTGACAGACATACCACGTTTCATTGACGGCCGTTTTTCTGGCTGTTTCAAGTTTTTAATTATAAAATTTTGTAAAAAATGATGTTTAGTTGATACAAAAAACATGAAGATTATTTAATAGAGCTTACAAACCGATATATATTATAGTAAGAAACCCATTCTTTAGGCGAACTGAAAAATTTACGAATTACTCGCAAGTGGATTGATCATAATTCACTAATATACTATGGATTACTGTTAATCGACTAAAAATAGATAAAGTTATCAATTGCACGGAATTTCATTGCCAGTAAACAAATAATAACATTATTTCCATTTCAATACATACATTTTCTCCTTTTCCGGTATCATCACCATCTTGGAGTTCCTTTAATAGCAGTGAAAAATCTTTTCCAGATTTCACTAAATCATCATAAGTTCCCATATTCTCTATAGCACCCTATACAGAAAAACTGTATTAATTTATTAAAGTGAAAAAACAAAGCTCATATAAATATGATAAGCCAGAATACTAACATCTTTCAAAATTACAATCCAGTCGGAATCAGTGAGATAATGTATTTGATGTGTGACCAATAGGCATGTCTTCTGGCGAAGGTAGCCTCGGATGCAACCTTCGAACAGTAGCCGACCTACGTTGGCATCAACAGCAGATAGCGGATCATCCAGCAAGTAGATATCAGCCTAAAAAATACACAGATGCTAGAGAATAGATAAGAATAGGTATAAGTCTAAATTTCATTAAAAAAAATATATTAATACGTTATCTTAATAATTATCTTGGCTACCTCAATAATTCATAAATACACATTTGATATTTATGAATTTGATATTGTTTTAGTAACTTAACTTCTATATGAAATAGTTGAGATATTAAAATGTATGGAAGGCAAAGGAAGAGCCATATACCCAGCCGTCAAACGTAGCTTCCATGTCAATATCTATAATTCAGTTTTAACAAGCGAATTAACAGGACACCTGAGAGCTATTCTATTTATTTTCGAACGGAAATTCAGAAAATTTCGAATCAGTCTTCTTTGTCTTCATAATGTTTGAAGTTGTATTAGTATTTCGAGAATAGACGCAATTTTGTTTTCGTAGTAATAGAACAGGCCTTCAGGTTCCAATTTTATTCGTAAGAGCTGGTATTAGTAGTATTTATACCTTCTTGCTTACATGACACAATTGTTATTTTATTATAGCTCTTCCGCTTTCTTCGACACTCATAACTCATCAAATATTATATAAATAGCGATATTTCATTAAATAGTACATTTTCAGTAAGAAGCTTACATTTCTGTAGACAGCTCTGGCCAGGTTGATGCGCGCCCGCTGTCCACCGGATAGAGTGACACCCCTTTCACCCACGAAGGATTGATCGCCATAAGGAAATTGATTGAAATCGGACACAAGGCAACATACGCGGGTGACCTATCAAAATTAAATGAAAGATTATGACGCAGGTGAAGTAGTACTGCAGGTACTGCAGGATTATTGGCATCTTACATGTAAATTATCATATTTGAAAATAATTTACAGTAAATTAAACATAGGTATTCTTTAAGCATTTTAACTTTAGTTGGCAAGTATTCCTTGATTATATTTCAATCGTTTTCTCACAATCGGTAGTTTAGAAACATGCAATCAGTTGCACAAACGTCCATTAAGGTTTAATTACGCCTTTTAGCTCTAATGAATGTCACATTTGTGTAGGTAATGTCGCTCTAAACTAATGAAATTTTAATAGACGTTTGTGCAACTGGCTGATAGACAAAAAAGTTATGACCCATAACTTAGTACGACACGGTGCTTATGTATGACGAATTGTGCGCGAGTGCATAATAATGTCACATGGCAATGAATGACTGTATAATCCACTATACAATTGGTCTGGTACGTTCTATAAAAAACATTCTGATATCAATACAATGTTTGTTTTATCTACTAGCGTCATAAAATAAAATGAAATTATCTAAAACGCCTTATCAGTTATCACTCATAATTTAATAAAAACAAATTAAGTCTACATTTTTGTAAAAGTGCCAATCATTGCATTATACATTATACTTATACAATGATTGGCACTTTCACAAAAATCTTATATTTACAAGGGACTGGTTTTACATTTCATTGAGCATTAATTTTGTTCCCAAACTTTTGATGCATAAGGATATTAGTTTTTTTAAGGAAAAGCATTTAACAAAAATATATATATATATATAAATGCCACTTTTTACCTACAGTTGAATTTTAGACACGGCAACCAAATATAATAGGTATTATTTTTTGTCCATAAATAAATATAGTATATAAAAATAAGTATACAGAGATGACGAATTTGGTAAATATCGTATAAGATATATCTTCTTTATCTGCTTAGTTATATTTGTTAATTAATGCTATGTTGTTTAGATATAAAGTATGATAATGTTTTGGTCTTAAAAGAGGAGAAATATGTGTAATGTTTGTTATTGATATTGATTGATCTCATCCATTATTATAAATAAAAAAAAATATTACTTTAACCTTCTACTTTCTACTTCTTACTTTCTCCATACAAATTGTAACTGTAGAAAACTTCCATTCACATGATTTTCATAACATAAAGTTTCCGCTTCACATATTACTACAATAGTTATCCTAATATAAGTTCTCACCTCTTTGTATTTTTGAGAATCATAAGTTGATCCGAATAGGATATTTTCCCGTACTGTTCCCGAAAACAACCATGATTCCTGACAGGAGAAGGACACTTTTCCATTGACGGACAGCGACCCTGAGTGAGGCAGCAACTCTTTCAGCAATAATTGCAACAATGACGTCTGTTATTAGGAGAAATATCATAATTAATCTTACCAATAAAACAAAAAAGAAGACATAATTCCAACATGCTAAACTATGAAAATAACACCTACCATGTGTACAACCGATTAACAATAAATATAGATCCTGTAGCAATAGGTTACAACATCTTAGCAAATATTAAGACTATATTTCGTTTCATTTTACTACTTTGACAATGTCTTTTGGTGGATAAAAATCGGGAATAAATGACTAAGTTAAAAACACCGCTGCCGAATCCATATTCATCATTCTTTATTCGTTATTAAAGGACATATTAAAGAAGCATAATGAAACGAAATTACGCAGTAACATCGCTAATATGTTTTATCCTGTGGCTAGAGTTATGCTAGACTAGTAAGTAAGGCGGTGGTTCTGCAGTGAATAAAAAGTTTTTGCATATATGTTGTCCTTTGGACCCGAATAATTACATTTACCTAATAAATTATCTTTAATGTTAAGTGGGTCAACATTATTATTGTATTAATATTGACTTTACTAAAGATACCAACCGTATCGTTTTAAAACACATACAATTTTAATGATGTGCATCGTGAAGTTAATTTTTCGTTTACTTAATAAATGTTTACCGGAAATGATCCCCCGTCATGTAACTTTAATAAATATTCTATAATTTTAGTGACGCTGAAATGTTCCAAATACCTTAGTTTGTAGAAACAACAAGTTATGAAATTCATTAGACTATAATTCCTCGTTTCGTTTTAAATGTAGAACTAAAATTATAGTGGCAATTATTTACATGTTATGTCATGCTTAAGAGGTAATTGCTTATACAGATTTTATTTATAAATAAAAGGTTTTATTTGCAACAATACTAATACAATTGTAAATGTTTTTCTATAGTAATCGGACACAGGCAATCATCTGTATACATTTTTGAAATTGAGTTCTGTATTGTTTTTTTATTATTGAGATACCTTTCCGGAGCCTACGGGTCCAATGATGGCACATAATTTGCCGTGGCGTACACGCATCGAAATGTTTTTAAGAGTGGCTTCTTCGGAGGCTACATTATTCCAAGAGGCTGTTACACCGCACACATCCACAGCATATTCACTAGGATTCGCAGACTTGTTGATTTCTGCATCAATAGTAAAACATCATTTTTTAAGGATAATAAACGCTTAAAAACTTATATGCTTGAAATCCCTCATCTAATGAGTTAATTGAACATAGACGAAACTTATATATATTATCTACGTGTGGCTACAATGAGGCGGATAATTTTAAAAAGAGATATCTATTATATCTTGCCGCTTTATCTACAACTAGCTTTCTGCCAGCGTTATCCTGTATTGTATGTTTTGTACATGTAAGCATTCCTCTTAAATAACTCTGTATATTAATGTTGTAACGGTGTGCCATGCCACCGTTTGTTTTCCTAGGTTTCAGTATGCAAACTTTTTGTTTTTGTAATTCAACATTATTTCATTTTATTATTCGTCTTTCGTAATTTAAAATTTTGACTAATCAATTATACTCTTTATGGATGTCAGTTCGTAAGAAATTCCCATATACACAAGATGAAATTCTAATATAATACAATATTATTGGTATAAATTTTAATATGTAATGTTTAAATAATTCATATATTATGGTGATACAATAATATAACATATTTACTAAATTAAATCTGTATTTTGTACGATCAAAAGTGTAACAAGAAGCCCGACAAGGGGTATGTATTCGTTTATTTGATAAGAATGTATTAGTTTAAGTAACTTACGAACTGTTTTTTTAAATTTATTTTGTTTGTTACAGTTTTTTATTATTACCCTTATTTCATTAATAAATTATACTCAAGCTGATCAGCCTATTTAATTGACCGAAGCACCGAACCCGTAACACTGGCGCCCAACGTGGTGGCAAAAATAGGCTGACTACTGCAATAGAAGACAATAGTGCACACTTTACGACCAACACCACAATCACATTTACTCACATAAACAGACAATAGACGTTCAGCGTTACTTTGGCTGGTCACAAATGTGATCGGTTCTGATGCCATTGTATCGAGGAACATACAAACACGTACTCAACATAGTGTTATAAAATAGGAAAATTTTAATAGTAAATAATTTAGATTCCGTATATATAAAGGTACGTAAGCTATTTTTATTTTTTTTCAAAAATTTTATGAGATTTCTTTTTGACGAATAATATTATTTTTAATATTTAAAAAATAGAATATTGTAATTTATTTTCCGTTTACGATTTGACATTCATTTCTTTATTAATAACCAATTTTAATCATGGATATATCGTACTTGAATAAACCAGAAATTATTTATGAACTGAAATTACGAAACGCGAATTTTGAATCCACCCAAACGGCTCAAGAATTGCGTGAAATTTTATTACCAATGATAGGAGACCCTACTAACTATCCTCCTTTATCATTTAGTCCGATCGAATTCAATATTAATGTGAGTGAAATCAATAAATGTTTAGATTTGATTTCAATCACATTATCATCTTATCCAACTAGGAAAAATAAGATTAAACCCTACCTAATTCATATCAGGAATAGATTGTCTCTAATAGAATTGACAACAGAAAATACAAACGAGGATATCACCACAATAAAAAATTTATTTGATCGTTTACAACAATATGAAACAAATTATCAAAATCTAGAATTTACTCCACCAACTTCTACATATCATTCTGCAGTTTCTGTACAACAAACTAGTGTTGTACAACCTTTTTTAGAAAATCTTACCCATACATTACAAAGTTTAACAAATAATAAATCAAATTTAGAAATTAAAAAATTTAATTATTCCGGCGATGGCTGTCCTAGAGATTTTTTACAAAAGGTTGAAGAATTTGCAACAGCTAGAAATATCAATTTTATTTCATTACATAACCATATTTATGATATTCTTTCTGGAATAGCTCTTGAATGGTACAGAGCCAATAAAGAATCTATTCCAGATTGGGATACATTTAAAATTAAATTTTTAAAATATTTTGAAATTACCGATTACGATTACAAACTAAAAAAATTTATTGATTCACGTAAACAAAAACACAATGAACGTATTATTATTTATTTTGCTACAATGGAATCCTTATTTTCTAAACTACATGAACCTCTTACCGAGAAACAAAAAATTGAAATTTTACGAAGGAATTTGAAACCTGAATATGGTCAACGACTTTTACCACAAGATTTACAATCTATCAATACTTTAATTGAATCTTGTAAGTGGTATGAAAACTGCTTACAGGTTTCAACTGACGAATCACTGAATTTTTCTGATATTTTACCAAATTATAATAAACCCAATAAAAACTTACATAATTTTTACGATTTACCCCCCAATACTTCTAACAATAATTCTGCTCAAGTTTATGCTGTTTCTTCGAAATCTATTACTACGAAACCTGTTATTGAACAACAAACAATTACTTGTCCTCGTTGTCGTACCAACGATCACACTCTTTCTAATTGTACTAGCACAAAGAAGGTTTGTTTCCGCTGCGGTAAACAAGATGTGATTTTTACTAATTGCCCGATATGCAAAAATTCAAAAAACTAATTAAGCAGGAATGTGGAAATTCTTATTTTGATCAAACCGATTGGAACAATTGGCTCAATACTATTAAAATTTATTTTAAATCTTACAAAATTTCTACGTTCCTTTTTAATAATAATACGGATACAGAACGTCCATATATAAAAATTAAAGTGAACAATTTGATTTTAAATGGTTTATTAGATAGTGGAAGTGCTATTACAATTTTGGGTAATAATGCTCATAAGCAGCTTTTACAATATGGTTTTACAATTCATTATAACAATATTATTCAAGGTACCGTTGCAAACGGTGAACGCATACATTCTATTGGAACAATAAAACTACCAGTATTATATAAAAACAAATTTTCTAATGTTACTGCACACATAATACCAAATATTACTGAATCTTTAATATTAGGTATTGACTTCTGGAAGACATTCAATTTAGCTCCTCATTTATTTTCTGATATTACTTTACATAAAAATGTAAATTTACCTACCTTTCTAATTAATACTGATTCTATGCATTTAAATACTTTTAACAATCTTTCTGAATCCCAACAAGCTATAGCAGATACTATGATTCAAAGGTTTAAAAATATTTCTACTGATATCTTACCATTAGGCAAAACACATTTGGCTGAACATTACATAGACACAGGCGATCACGCTCCTATACGACAGAAGTGTTATCGCTTGTCTCCAGAAAAACAGAAGGCACTACGTATCGAAGTAGACAAGATGTTGGAACTTGATGTCATTGAACCATGTGAAAGTCCATGGCTTAACCCTGTGATAATTACACCAAAAAAAGATGGCACATGGCGTTTTTGTGTTGATAGCCGTAAATTAAATTCTATTACTAGAAAAGATGCCTACAAATTACCTTACATTTCCGATATTATCGATAACCTTAAGGATGCTAAATATTTATCTTCAATTGATATTGCTAAGGCATTTTGGGAAATTCCTTTACGTTTAGAGGATCGTCCAAAGACTTCCTTTCACGTTCCTGGCCGCGGAACATACCAATTTAAGGTCATGCCCTTCGGATTGACCAATGCTCCAGCTACTCAACAACGATTTATTGATAATTTACTTTCTAATGATTTTGACACCACTGTCTTTTGTTACCTTGATGACATTGTCATCGCCACAAAAACGTTCGAGGAACACATTAATTTATTGAATAAAATTCATACTAAGTTACTTTCTGCAAATATTACCGTTAATTATCCTAAATGTGCATTTTTCCGTAGTGAACTGAAATATTTAGGTTATGTTATCAATGAGAAAGGGTTACAGACTGATCCAGATAAAATTAAGGCAATTTTAGATATACAACCACCCAAGACTGCAAAAGATGTAAAGAAATTTTTAGGTACAGCGAGCTGGTATAGACGTTTTATACCAAATCTAAGTACTTTAGCTGCTCCACTAAATAAACTTACGTCAACGAGTAAAAAAACACCTCCTTTCAAATGGACTTCAGAAGCTGACGATGCTTTTACTCAGATTAAACAAGCTTTAGTTTCCACACCAATTCTAACTTGCCCAGATTTTACAAAACCTTTTGCAGTTCACTGTGATGCATCGGCATATGGCTTAGGTGCGATGCTCACTCAAACTTTTGAGGGAGTTGAAAAACCTATTGCTTATATGAGCAAATCATTATCCAGTGCCCAAAAAAACTACTCTATTACAGAACGTGAACTACTTAGCGTAATTACTGCCTTAGAACATTGGCGTTGCTATTTAGATAACGGGCAAAAATTTACCATTTATACCGATCATTCTGCACTCCAATGGTTTTTACATTTAGATAATCCAACTGGTAGACTAGCCAGATGGAGCATTCGTCTCTCAATGTTCAATTTCGAAATCAAACACAAAAAAGGAAAAGAGCATTTAGTTCCAGATACATTATCCCGTATTAAACATATAAACGCTATCAATATACGAAGCACCGAACCCGTAACACTGGCGCCGCAACGTGGTTGAAAAATAGGCTGACTACTGCAATAGAAGACAATAGTGCACACTTTACGACCAACACCACAAACACATTTACTCACATAATCAGACAATAGACGTTCAGCGTTACTTTGGCTGGTCACAAATGTGATCGGTTCTGATGCCATTGTATCGAGGAACATACAAACACGTACTCAACATAGTGTTATAAAACAGGAAAATTTTAATAGTAAATAATTAATTAGATTCCGTATATATAAAGGTACGTAAGCTATTTTTATTTTTTTTCAAAAATTTTATGAGATTTCTTTTTGACGAATAATATTATTTTTAATATTTAAAAAATAGAATATTGTAATTTATTTTCCGTTTACGATTTGACATTCATTTCTTTATTAATAACCAATTTTAATCATGGATATATCGTACTTGAATAAACCAGAAATTATTTATGAACTGAAATTACGAAACGCGAATTTTGAATCCACCCAAACGGCTCAAGAATTGCGTGAAATTTTATTACCAATGATAGGAGACCCTACTAACTATCCTCCTTTATCATTTAGTCCGATCGAATTCAA